AACATATTTTTGATATATTAAATTTGGATGTACAAATCTAAATATATTTAAATAGATTATGCTATATATATGTGTGTATTGTATAATAACTATTTTATAAAATGTTATATATTTTCAGGGAAACTTATATTGAAAGAGAACCGGGTGAAAAGACAAATGATCGTAATGACAGAGCAATACGAGTTGCAGCTAAATGGTACAATACCCATTTGAATTCCGATGATAACAACATAAATATTGTTTTGTTAACAGATGATGTAGAAAATAAAACACGTGCAGTTGAAGAAGGACTATTTGTTGTATCGAGTAAGATATATTTGTTTTTATTCTATTAAATTATATTATTTTGATATAAATGTGATATTTAGAATAATGTATACATCTTTTTCATAGTGGAAAATTATGTCGCGTCGTTGGAAAATGCAAGTTTTCTGCTGGATAAATTATCTAAACGTTCTTACTCTTCGGATATTCAAGGCCCAGAATTATTTCCCTGCCATCTGTCACCCACGGAAGTGCACAATGGCATATCGTCTGGAAAATTGTTGCAAGGAACATTTTTGGCATCAAGAGAAAATTTTCTCGAGGGAAATGTAAATGTCGAAGGCAGAGAAAAACCTGTAAGATATATAATTGTGAATATTTAAATACATCAATATTGTCGATCTTAAAAAGAAAATTATTGAATGCCTATTTAGAAAGTAATAATGAATAATCAAATCGCTCAAGACACACACATCATAATTCTTTTTTAAATCTTTTAAAAGCATCATTTTGAGTATCATAAATATAAAACAAAAATTTCAAAACTATATTTTTATCTTAAGACTTTCAAAACTTTCTCATATATTAAGCATTATAATTAATTTTTCATTAAATTTGACAATGTATATGTAACAATTATTTAGAAGTATTATTTCTATTGTTTTATTTTTATTGTCTTAGATATTTGTGCAAGGACGAGCTCATCTCAACAGAGCAGTCGATGGTGATATAGTCGCGGTTGAAATGCTGCCAGATGATAAGTGGTCATCACCCAGTGAAATTGTTTTGGAAGATGAAAAAAGTACAGATGCTGGCGACGACGCAGAAGATGAAGAGAAAGCACTCCGCAAACAGAGTTCGTCAAAAATGCAAGAGAAAATACCAACGGGCAAAATTGTCGGTATTATCAGAAGAAAATGGAGACAATATTGTGGAATACTGCAGCCAAGTGCAATTAAAACGGTAAAAATCTTTTATGTTATGACATTATAATAATCTTTTTATCTGTTCTGTATTATTTTTATCTGTTGTCATAGAACGTAAGGCACTTGTTTGTGCCGGCTGAGAGAAAAATTCCAAAAATAAGAATTGAGACTAGACAGGCCGAGATACTGAGTAAGCAGAGAATTATTGTCGCACTAGATTCATGGCCACGAAATTCGAGATACCCGCTTGGTCACTTTGTACGAGCACTTGGTAATATAGGGGATAAAGAGACGGAGAATGAAGTATTACTTTTAGAGCACGATGTTCCACACAGCCGTTTCTCTGATGCTGTTCTTAGCTTTCTTCCAAAGCTGCCATGGATCATTACGGAAGCGGTACGTATATTTTAAAAATTCGTTATTAACTAGTTATCTCGATTATTAATTCCATAAAATTCATAATACGAGTATGAATAATTAGATAAGTAATATATAATTTTTGTAGGATGTTGCGCAAAGGGAAGATCTTCGATATTTAGACATCTGCTCTGTGGATCCGCCAGGCTGTACTGACATTGATGATGCGTTACATTGTAAAAGTTTACCAAACGGTAATTTCGATGTTGGTGTGCATATCGCAGATGTATCTCACTTTATAAGGCCTGGGACTGCACTGGACAAAGAAGCAGCGTTACGCGCTACTACTGTATACCTTGTCGATAAACGAATCGACATGGTTCCAGGTGAAATAGCAGCACTTCATTTTAAATATAGGTAGTCATAACATAAATTATATAATATAAAATTTTTTTATTTCAGAATTACTTAGCTCGAATCTCTGTTCTTTGCGGGGTAAGGAAGAACGATTTGCATTTTCCTGTATATGGGAAATTGACCCTGACGCAAGTATAATTAATACGAGATTTTGCAAATCTATAATTTGCTCGCGTCAAGCAATGACATATGAAGAAGCTCAATTGAAAATTGACGATGCTACTCAGCAAGATGCTATCGCGAAATCATTGAGAGGATTAAATCAGTTGGCAAAGAAATTAAAAAAGAAACGTCTAGAAAATGGGTATGATTGTTCATGATTCAGATATAATATCTGTATTAAATTATTCCAAGTTATACCGGTTTATTTTTCACAATAACTAATTTTTTTATGTCAAATTTAATGTAAAATAATTTATTTGCAGTGCTTTAACTTTAGCATCACCGGAGATACGTTTCCAAGTAGATAGCGAAACGCACGATCCTATTGATGTAGAAGCAAAAAAGTTGCGAGACACTAATTCTATGGTAGAGGAATTTATGCTGCTTGCAAACATTAGTGTTGCTGAAAAAATATTAGCAGAATTTCCAGAATGTGCTATGCTGAGAAGACACCCTGAACCACCACAAAGTAATTTTGAACCATTGATTAAAGCTGCTAAAAATCAGGTATTATTCTTTAGTATAGAACTTTATATAATTCCAAATTTAATTAGATAATTAATATCTAAAAATTTAAAAACTATAGAAAGTAATGATTTCTTTCGATTTTTATTTTGGAGATTAAATCTAATATATATTACCAGTGTTATCAGTTATGTTATGTATTTATTATTTAATAGAGTTATAAAATATACATATATATTTTTAATTAATTTTAAAGAGATTTATTATTAATACAAGTACCGGTAAGGAATTTGCCCGATCATTGGAAGAAACACAAAAGGAATCAAATCCTTATTTCAACACAATGTTAAAAATATTAGCTACACGGTGTATGTTGCAAGCGGTATATTTTATCAGTGGAATGCATCAGCCGGAAGAATTTAAGCATTATGGATTGGCGTGTCCAATTTACACGCATTTTACATCTCCTATTCGAAGGCAAGTAATTTGAAAACCATTAAGAGACATAATTATTGAATTAATTCACGGTTTTTTATATGTATCTTACAGATATGCAGATATAATTGTGCATCGACTGTTAGCTGTATGTATAGGTGCTGATGCAACTTATCCAGAGTTATTGGATAAGAAGAAGAATCATTTGTTATGCCACAATCTGAATTATCGGAATAGAATGGCACAATATGCTGGCCGAGCATCAGTTGCACTTCACACACACGTTAGTTCGATTTATGATGAAGTTTCTTTTTGACAGTCTTTCTATCTTTAGATATAAAATATTATTTTTAACAATTGTTTTCTGTTTCATAGATATTCTTCCGTAATAAGATTCAGGATGAGGAAGGATATATTCTTTTTGTACGCAAAAATGCTTTGCAAGTGCTTATACCGAAGTATGGTTTGGAAGGCACTTTGTATCTAAATAATTCTGCTTCACCGTCTGTCACGTTCGTATATAATTCAGAGGATCAATCCCAAACTTGCGGGGATGTTGTATTTCGAGCATTTGATCCTGTTGTTATACAAATGAGTTTGGATAGTTCTAATGTACAACATGAAAAATTATTTTTTAAACTCGTAAAACCAGAGGTAAGGAGAGAGTGTGTGCGAGAACAAACAGAATATTCGTACATTTTTAACGTACTAATAATTTTTTATGTAATTACAGATTCCAAATTTTAGCATTCCTCCATTAAATACACCGAAATTAAATGACACCGAAGAAAATTCTACTAAGAAAACGTTGAAACGGAAGTCAGAAATTAAGGAAGAGTTATCTAATGTTCGTACTAAGAAAGCCGGAAAGAAAAAGAAGAAAAAGAATTGAGAAAAGTATATTTTTCAAATGTAAAATGAAATGCGAATTATATAATATACGCATTGATTTTTACAAAAATTTTGTATTTTTTTGCTACTTTTTAATTACATTATTCACAACTTATAAAAAGTCTTTATAACAAGACAAAAAATTCTCATAAATCGTTCTTAGACAATATTCCCACAGGAAACTTATATTACATAATTACACAGACACAAAAAAATGCCTGATAATTTCTCTCGTTGAATTATTACTAATTTATATTTCCTTTCTTATTCAATTAAATATACTTAAAAAGAGGATGTTAAAAGAGACCGATTTTTACCCACAAAGATGTAAGTAAAAAAAATAGCGGTTTTTTATAGATTTCGACTTCCTAAGTACGAATGTTAATAAAAAGTTCAGGATAGGGAACACCCTGAAAATTCAGCATGAATATGACATATTTAAACAAATTTCAATATTCTTGCTTACTTTTCAAGCTGTTCCCCAAGTGTCATAAACTTTAAGTTTTTAGTAATTTTATCATATTCAGGAGATCGAAATCTATAAAAAAATTTTTATTAAAAAGCTATTTCTTTTACTTACATCTTTGTGAACAAAAATCGGCTTCTTTTTAACGTCTTTCTTTTTCATTACATTGTGAAAAATTCAATGGTAAACAGCAGATTTAATTTCGTGCAATATAAGCAGCATTTGAAAACTAAAACGAAAAATAAATGATTAAAATAAAAATAATAAAAATAAAAAAAAATATCGTTCATTGGACTTAATTAACATAAATAAACCGTTAACATGCCTTTAATAATAAAAACGTTAAAAATGGAAAATAAAATATAATCAATGAGTATAATAAGATTCAATTGTATGTCACGCATTGAAAGGTGATGCATTTCTTATAAATACCGTAAAAACTTATCACATGGACCATCAAATCTTAGATCATATAATGTATAAAATCAATTTAACTTTAATTAAAGGCAGCTTCAAGTTTGCTGAAAAAATATTATACCGTTTATCAGGTAAAAAAAAGAATTTAATTTAAAAATACGTTTTAAATTCGACTAGCACGATAATAAATAATAAAAAAATTACTTAGTACCGATACAAATTAACGAATTGCTTTTTTTGTAATAATTCAGTGAGAGAATGCTTGAGCAATACGTTGAATAAATTTGTGGTGTTTCTGATTGCAACATAGTAGTTGACGATCCTCTGAAAAGAGTAAACAATATGTAATATAAACAAATCTAAGTTTAAGAACAGAAAAAGATTTAAGCATATACCCATTCAATGTTTTGATGAAATCTTGAGTAGGCCACAATCGTACGATTCCGTCTAAGCTTGCACTAGCGATATATTGGTTATCTAAACTCCAATCTACATTCATGATTGTATCTTTATGACCTTTCAGTTCAGTCAGTAAACCATTAGTTGCTAAATCCCATATATATATGGACTTATCGTCACCTGAATAACAGTTTTAAAGTTAAGTTTTAAAGAATAATTCATTAGATGTAATTTTGATAATTTATTTTATATCTTTTTCATAATTACCTGCAGCAGCCAGATATTTACCATCTGGACTAAAAACTAAAGTGTAAATAGTCGATTGTGCTCCAACATATACTCGCAATAGATTCCCATCATCTTTTGACCATAATCTTACAGTTTTATCAGCGGAACCAGTCGCTAAGTATCTTGCGTTTGGATGAAATTTTATGCACTGAAATAGAAGATGTGTAAATTAAATCATATCACAATACTATCCTAAAATAAACATAAGTTAATGACGGTTAAAAGACGTACATTGACATCTAAAAAATGACCTGCAAATATTCTCAAGGGAAATGTTCTATCCAATGACCACAATTTTGCAGTTCTGTCATGTGAGCCTGTGCCGATATATAAATTGAACACACTGGTATCCATGCACCATATAGGATAGCTATGACCGCTACAATGAGAAAAAGCATTATTAGAAATGTATATACAGAATGGTCTACTTAAATCGAACATCTTGAATACTTTGCTTATTTTTGATGATATAAAAAAATATTTCAAATGAAAAGTGCAACGGTTTCGAGAGGGACGTATTTTTCACATTGTTTTTTTTTCTAGATGGAGGCTCCAAAAAGAGATATGAAGAATCTCCACTTTTTTAAACGGAATTTGATTTTTTTTTTTTTTTTACATAATATGATTCCTCTAATTGTCCTGCATTAATTTTTTGGCAACTGTACCTTAATACTTTTATGCACAGAATAATGATATGAAATTGGTGTGGAGAAAACACAGTTACTATTTAAAAAAAATACGTAGTTGCACATTGTAAATTGCATAATTTTTTTAAGATCAACTGTGTATTTTCTGCATGTCAATTGATTCATTTTATTCTGTACATAAAAGTATTAGGGTATGATTGCCAAAAAATTTATAGTTCACGAGATATTTTATGTTCTATGTCAAAATGTATCAGAGTAAAATGTGAAATATCTCTAAACTATTTTTAATATCTCTATCTTAATACTTTTATGTGCAGAATAATTAGAAGAATCATATTATCTAAAAAAAATAAAAATCACATAATTCCATTTTAAAAAGTAGAAGTGACCTTTATATCTTTTTGACGCTTCTATCTAGAAAAAAAACAACATGACCAAAATACGTCTCCTTCGAAACCGTTCCACTTTCATTAGAAATATTTTTTTATATCATTAAAAATAAGTGAAATATTCAAGATGATTGATTTAAGTGAACCATCTTATATACAATATTTTATCTGTGCAATATTTTGTACAATTTATTCTTCTATTCAATCCTATTTTAGAAAAAGTTATGAATCTGCAGATAAAAAATATTCAATAAAATCAATACAGGGATCTTAATTTAAAAAAGATTTACTTTAAAACATACAAATTTATCTTTATTTGATTCTGTTAAAAATTTGTTGTATGAAATGGACTGCGAATATTTTTGATACTTAATTTTTCATGAATCATTAGCCTGCAGGAGAGAGAAAAGGATTTACTGAAGAAATAGCATTGCTTACCTATATATTGCTGTACATGAATAATTATTGAGTTTCCATGCTCTCATATCTTTGTCGCTCGATACAGAAAGAAGAATATCTACCTCTGGAATAAATCTTAAATCGTGTACTACATCCGTATGTCCTCTTAATATTATGGCCCCTGCTTCGCTTCTTCTGTTACCGTAAAATTATGTAATTGTTTAATAAGATATTGCACTCAAATTAAGAAAAAGATGTAACTCACACTGTGCTTTCTTGCTCGTTGAATTTATAAAATGGTGATATATCACAGGTAGACGGAACACACGTTTGCTTATCATTTTTCTTGACCAAGACTGTATCGCCTATAGCCCACAAACGTATTTCAGCTGTACTAAAACCTACAGCTAACTTATCCATTTTAGGTGCAATAAGACCGCAACTTGCACTGCAATAATGATGAAGATATAAAATATAAGTAATGGCAAGAATCATATAGAATAGATAATGATCTGTTACTTGCTTTTCTATAGCATTTTTCACTGTAAATAATCTTAATGCTTGATGAGAATTATGTTGTATCAATCGTATAGCTTCCTGTAATTCCCTCATTTCACGATCCACACCAGTACCAGATGGTTGTTCCACGTGACCATTAATACTTGTTTCATATCTTTGACTTTTCTCTTCAGGTACTTCTCCATCCATTTGAAGGCTGCCTGTTTTTCTAATTATTGTGATGTGTGTATTTATAATCTAAACAGAATAATAAAAAATTAAAGTTTATCGCTAAAAATAACTAGTTTTGAATTTAATAACAGAATGATTCAAATAATTTAAACAACAAAAGCAGTAGGCTTACGAGTCGAGCTAGATGTTTACTAATAAATTAACATAAATAATAGATACAATTTCAAATAGACGTTTTAACTCTTATCAGGTCATTCTCAATGTTAAATAATTTACAAAATTTCAATGATGCCGATCATAAAATTAAACAATGTAGATAATAAAAATAATATATTGTAATCAGTCCATATCATTCTTTGAAATAAATGGAGGTAGTTGTCTATCGTGTAATCTGAGTTTGCGCATCGTAAATGATTAATTTAAAATATGGTAAACTCAAGTGAAGATCACCAAACAGTGAAATAATTAAATTATGTAGATATAAATAAGTGATAAAAAGAAAAAAAAAAAGAAAACTCATTACCCAATCTTTAAAAATATCAGAAAAATGTTTGTGATCCCTTCTACATAGTTAAGTCAAATTATTTTTTGAAAAACAGGAGATATTTTTTTACATCTAGTTTGGCTCGTAACCCTATTGTTTTTATTGTTTAACTAATTTTATTTTTTATTAAACAAAATAAAAGCTCTTTAACATTTTGAGTATCACACGAATTATCGTAATCGATCTCTTGACACCACACTATTTTATCATTTTGTGCTGTTCATAATAAGTCTAAATGGGTATATATCTTACGAGTAAACATTTTTCAAAATATTTGTGAATGCTTGATCCGTGTATATATAGTAAGATACACGCGGCAGCATGGAAATAATAAAATATTCCTCCACCGCAAATGTAAATGTAAATACATATTTATCGTCATCATAAATTTATAAAAAATGTTTTTATAATATAATTTTAAATAAAATTTCACATTAAAATACATTTTCCAATAAATTATATTTTCTTACAAAGATAAATAAAAATCTTCAACTAATAGACTTTTTCTTTTCAGAATTCATAAACTATATAAAATCAATGAAAAATATTCTTGATTTATGTACAAGTGGTAGAAAACGTGTACGTATTCAAATTGGTACACGGAGTCCTAAACCCACTGTATATCTAATTAAAATATGTATAGCAGTCAAAATTAATTTAAATTATCTTTTTTAATTGATATAATTAAGGTGAAAAGATTAACCTTCTGCAGAATTTAGATATTAGTAAATAAGGATATATTAAAACCAATTAACTATATTACCTGCATTAATATTATGTGTCCATATTTGGTAAGATATTGTCTCAGGCAAATATGTGCCGATTCGGACAGATCTACTTTATACTTTCTAGTTCTGAACGCATTTACCAAAGGCCTCAGCTCAATGTCTTGCACCGAAAATACACTAGATAATTCCTCTAAAAAGTCTTTCTCTGTATCACTCATAAACTCATTCTGATGCGTCTTTAAGAATTGGATTGCAGCTTGGCGATTACCAGCATGTAACATCTCTAAATAAAGATGACAAAATATCGGATACAAAAGTCCTTGCAATTCTATTCGTAATTTTTCGTTGAATACGACGCTCATCCATTTCTTCAATCTAAAAGCAAGATTAAAACTTTAAGCATCTTCAATTCTCAAAATTAATTTGTTATATTATATACAAAAAAAATTCCCACATTAATCAACATTGGCCAGTTAGTTTAGAAATCTCAAATTTAAGTTATATAGAACTCTACTTAAAATTCTACTTTGAAAATGTTCGAACTAAAATTTTATAACAAATTTGATTGGACACACTAGCGTGCACTTATGTGTTTAAAGTCATTACAGTGATTTAATTTGAATGTAAAAGTAATACGCAAATATCTCGCATGATAAAATGATCAATACATATTTTACGAAAGAGCACAATAAAATGTATTAACAATTACGCAATTTAATAAATAATTTATATTAAACATACATTTTTAAGTATGTCGATTTGTGTACAACGACTTTAAATAGAACATAAGGGTCTTAATAGAAAATTTTTCTAATTTTCAAATATTATGATTTAAAAAAATTTTATATTTCACAATCTTATTTTTCATAATTTTGTTCTATTTACGTAGACTAATTATTATGTTTATGCTAAATTTATGCTAAGTTCAAGTATTGCAATTTTTTTATATAGTTAAAAATTAAAAAATTGTTTAAACTAAAAATAACAAAAAACTTAAATGAGTTCCAAGAATCCATATGTTCCTTTAGACACATTCTGCAATAAGTCATTAGTAATAAATCGAAAGTCAGAAGCTAGGAATTGACCAATCATAATCAAATGCGAAAAGAATATGATTGGCAATTTCTAGCTTCTGGTTTCTAATTTATCACTAATGACTTAGGCTGTGGTCAAAGTCTCGCTAAAAATTATTTGAAGCGTTTGATGGACCAATTAGAAGAAAGAAATTTTACAAACTGATCAATTAAAAACTGTTTCAAAGCGTTTGCAGCATCGCATTGACCGTACTCTTATTGTAAAATAAGTATTAGTCCGGATATATAATAAGTGTTTTAAGCCTTAAGCTATAAAAAATTGACCAATTATAATCGAATGGAAGAATAATGGACTATGATTCATTCATTTCTTATGACTTAAGGCTTAAAAACCTATTGTAGATCTAGACTTAAGCTGATACTGTGTTTATCATACAATAAATTTTTCACGCCTATCAATTGGTTATAAAATAGAGAGATTCAAGAACCTCTCTCTGGCCTGCAGCCAATCAACAGGCTTAAAAAGTATGATACATGAAATATTAACGTCATAAAAAATGTATTCCTGTTAGGGAATTGAGTTTCATAAATGAGCCCCATATAACCGTTGGTTAACTTAACCGATGGTTACATGGGACTCATTTAGATCCAGTTCTCATGGTTAATTCTTAATCGAGATTCAATTTGTTTCTCATTTCTTTCCAATTCTAGAATTGGAAAGAGACAATGAATAAGTTGAACCTTGGTTAAGAGTTAACCGTGAGTTGTGTGTGTGTGTGTAGACCTTAGGTCCAGTTTCACAACTCATAGTTAACTTTTAACCTCGATTTAATTTAAAATAAGTTAAACCTCGATTAACAGTTAATCATAAGCTGTGAAACTGGGCCTAAATAAGTTCTAATTGAGTTCGCTAGTAATCCTTATAACAGCCTTCCCTATAAAACAAAAACAAGCTATTGAATAAATAAACAAATTATAAAAATAGAAGACTGTTATAGCGAATTCAGTCACTTGCTCGACGTTCATTTTTAGTGTTAAAATATGTCACGTGATCAAAATTGACAAATATCAAGCATCAATTTTGATCATCTGACCTGTTTTGATATTAAAAATGAGCATCAAGCATTAGCATGAAAATGTATCTACATTAAATTAATGCTAAAGGTGACTATACATGAAATCAACAAAGTAAAATGTAAAAACATAAATATTTTTAAATAATTAATAACAATAATAATGTCATGTTCTTTAATAGAATATACATACATTATTTCATTGTCAAATTAATTATATTATGCCACTGCATTTAAATACTTTATATAAAGCAGTCTTTAGTATACTAATCCAGTATAGTGTAATTGACCGAATTCACCACTAAATAAACATAATGCATTTAATTTTTAATTCCTGAGAATTCTGGAAATCCGTTTCCTGAGAATTCAGAATCGCATGAAAGCTATATCAAACACACATTATATTCTGAATAAAAAATTGAAATATAAAATATTAGAATCTAGAATTAGTAGGATTAAACGCATTGCGTGATCAAGCAACAAAATGCCTTATCTCGCTAGAATAAACGGAGTAGTAAACACGTCGTATAGTTCGAACACGAGTTTAAGTTCTATAAAACCATACCGCTGATATGCCTGATCTGCCGCAGCGATGTCAATGGTGATGGCACTGAAAACGATCGAGTTGTCCTGCGAAGTGCCGCACTCCGCGGTCGCGTTCAATGTTGTCTGATCGCTGTTCTGACAGAACAACTGATCGCCCTTGCGATAATCGTGGGTCTGGAAAAACATGCAACAGCGGTGAAGGAGGTTATGGCAAACCACGCGCGGCGTGAAACTCCGATGAGAGACACCGCACCTGATAATGACGCCGTTTTAAGTAAGACTCGATCGTCGCGCTGATCACCTCGCTCTTCATCCGCTTCATCTTCATCGAAGCCCGACGGCGACGATGAATTCCACTGAATCTCGCGACGGTGCCCCGAACCGGGATCCGTGACAGTGTGACAATACGAATCACGGGGCACAAACAAGCACGCACACCCCACCTGGTGCTGGAACTGCTGGGGATCGCCCAAAAGGGGGAAGAAAGGAGAAAAATATAAAGCCTAATGTACAATTGAAAAGCACAAGCAATAGGAACAGTCAATAATATATTTGAACAGATTTCAACTTATCAGAAATCGTGTACATCAGAATACAGTTTCTGATAGGTTAAAATTTGTTATTCCCTGTTTCCGTTATTTGTAGATTTTAGTACTTGCAATGAATAACAGAAGACAGCTTATTTCTATCAATGTAGATTAATTTTAACCCTCGTGTTGACTGTGTCAAAAAAAGCATGCTATATTTTATATTCAGTAAAAGTTTCCTCAAAGAGAACGTTTTGGAATGCCATAAATATATTAGAAAAAAAAATAAAAAGTAAGTTAATTAAATCGAGATTAAAGCAACATTGACTACATTTACACAACATCCTTATAATGCAGGGTGCTTTTCATTTGATGACACGAGTCGACACAAGTGTCATTCTATTTTTGTCATTCTCTGAATGTCAACAAGGATAGAACGACGCTTGTGTCGATTTGTATCGACTTGTGTCATCAAATAGAAAGTACCCAATAGAAATCGTACCGTTTTAAAAGAAAATTAACCAATCACAATCAAATATGAGAAGAATAATCAATTATGATTGGTCAATTTTTTACGACTTAAGATCCTATAACCATTATAGTACGCGTGGTCTACAATAGCAGTAGCAGTAGTGGATGAGGTTGTAAGAGTAACAAATTGACCAATCATAGTTGAATGTGACAAGAATAATCGACTGTGGTCAATTTCTTAACTCTTACAGCCTCATCTATTACTGACTGTTATTATAGACTTCGCAGCAGACCCTGCATTAAAGCCGGTTTTACCAATGCCGGTTAAGCCTAATTAACTGTCAACCGTAATTGGTCAATTTTAAACAGCAAATGTAATTGATCAGTTAATGGCCGATTTAATTAACTGGCATTAGTGAAACCGACTCTTAATCAGGTTTAATAACATCCATAGTTATGAAACTGGCCAATCACATTCGTTCCATTCTTCGAGAAACAGCTATGATTGGCCAATTTCATAACTACGGATATTATTAAATCTGATTAACCGTATATTCCGATGTATCCGATTTCTAATAGATTAAAATCGTTTATTCTTTATTCCTAATTACTTATTTCTTTTATTGTGCACAGGACCTAAGATGGGGAGCATAGACTCTTGCATAACGCATAACACATAATGCATAAGAAAATGAACCAATCAAAGTCCTTTATTTCCTTCCTTTCCATGAAATAAAGGACTCTGATTGATTGATTTTCTTGGCCCGGATCTACAATAGATTTTTAAGCCTTAAGCTATAAGAAATAGACGGATCACAATCGATTATTCTTCTCGCATTTGGCTATAATTGATCAGTTTTTTCCGGCTTAAGATTTAAAACACCTATTGTAGATCCGGACTTATGCTTTATGTTTTATGCGTTATGCAAGAGTCTGTTTTCCCTGCTTAAGTGTGCCGTGTAAAGCGGAGAACAAACTCGTACATAACGCATAACACATGAGGCATAAGAAATTGAATCGACCAGAGTTCTTTATTTCATGGAAAGAAAAGAAACGGAAAACTTCGATTAATACATTTTCTTCTGCATTACGTGTTATGTGTTATACGTTATGCAAGAGTCTGTGCTTCCCGCTTAAGGTCGGAATCAGACTATGCATTGAAGATTAAAGATTAAAAATTAAAGATTGAAATTTCACCAATGAGGACAAAGAAATTTTGGCTCCTTTTGTTCTAATTGGTCAAACAATCTTCAATCTCATTCTTTAATGCATAGTCTGATTCCGGCCTAACAAAGGTCACTGGTAAAAATGAACATTCCGATTATTGGCCCAATATTTAAGGCGGTATTCATAATTCGTTCTTTTTTAAGATCAGATTTTATTCTTAAATAATGTCTTAGACCGGTATTCATAGTCAGATCTTATATTCCGTCTTAAGTACAGTCAAGACCGTCTTAAATACAGTCTTAAGAAATTACAAACCAATCAGAGAGCGTATTAGCGTCTTAAGACATTACTTAAAACAATTTTGAAATAAGAACGGACTATGAATACCGTCCATAGTCGAATTTTATATTTAAGATCGTTTTAAGTATATTAGTCTACAGTCATGAACTTAAGAAGTCATGAACCAATCAAGAGGACTATATTATATAGCATCTAAAGACATTATTTAAGACGGTTTTAATAAAATAGGAACCGATTATAAAAATATTACAAATAATACATATTACAAAAAATACTACAAATCACTATAAATGCTTTGAAGCGTTTAATTAACCAATTAGAAGAAAGAATTTTATAAATTGACCAATCATGAACGCTTAAAGTATTTATAACATCACGTTAATCGTATCCTTATATTAATGACGCCTAACTGCTTCTCTGGAGTACTATTCTTTTGGTTTATCAATTCATGAAATACTTTTTTCTGATTGGACGATTGCTTCAAAGTATTTGTAATGACTTTGGTTGCATTTAACAGAAAAAGCAGTTTTGTAATTGTTATATGATTTTTTAATATAATTAATTATACATTTACTAGATCCAATAAAAAACGAACTAAGAGCAAGATCAACCATATTAAAGAATTTTGCAACAATTACAAAACTAGGAATCGATTATTAGTAAACTAAACTAGCCGATATTAAGCAATAAATATTATAATAAATTCGTTCACTTTTGGTCAAAATAATGAAATTATCACCTTGTTTCAACATATATTCGACTCCCTGCTTTTTCAACTAAACGACATATCGTACTACATAAATATCTCACTCACGCCACACTTAAATTTTTGTATAACAATAATTATGTTTTAATTAGACATCTAAGTCCAACTCCACTCGTTGTTTCTTCATGCATTTAAACTACTAGTCTGTAAACTACTATATATATTTTATAAGTATGTACAGATTGCACATATCTTTTATATGATGCAAATGCTGTCATGACATGAACATGACAGCTCTGGAGTGCCATATTGGGCCAAGAGATGGTAAAGGAAATTTCAATTTCGAAATTTTTGTCATTCTTAGTATAGATTCTACTTCACAGACGTATATTAATGCGTATACTTTAATTCTGGAAAAAGATATTCAAATCAGTAAAAGGAGAAAAAAGTAATTGTTATATAAAAATTATATAATTTAATCGGTAATACAGACGATTTTAGGATTCCCTTAATTGACCGACTGAGTTAGAATCAACAAATCATATCTGTCATTCAATATAATTTATCAGAATTGATTTTCTAAAACATTTAAAAATTATATAAAAATTTTTGAAAAATTTAAAAATTAAAATTTATGTAGAACCTCTGAAAAATTAATAAAGAATTTTAAGAAAAAAATCTACTTATCATATAATACTCTTATATTGCTGTATACTCCTATATTCCTATATTGCTATATATTTGCTTATAACGCAGCCTCTTTTTGGGAGTGAGAGGTGTGCGAAGACAGAGAGAGATAGAGAATAATCGGACTTCTTATTTCCATACATGCGGATAAGGTTGGTTAAGAATACGCGCATGCGTATTGATTTCAAGTATACCTAAGTATATCTAAGTGAGAGGTAGATATCGTCTGCACCGTGTTTTTACCAGAGCTCTTTAAGTAACGTTATCAATATACAAGTATTACATATATGCTTCGTACACGCATTTTGCATACTTGGCTAATTTATCATGGCGTGAAAGGTACCAACAAAACTGCTTATCTATAATACCACTCAGCTGTATTCAGTAGAAAAAGCAGCTTTGCAACTGTTGTAAAATTCTTGAATATGATTGGTTTATACATTTAGATCCAGTGAGGAACTAAGGGCAAGACCAATCATATTAAAGAATTTTACAACAGTGCAAAACTACTTTTTCTACTGAACGCAACCACTGAATACCAGTATACCTATACAGGTGTTACTACTAGATGACTTGATCTATTTCATCTGATTTGGTCTTGATGCTCGTTTCTCCATACGTTATTTTTTTCTCCAAATTCCTGTCCGCCGTGTAAGTTTACGAGATTAACATGATGACGACTAACCTGATTGAAGATAAATTATACAATTCTTTTGTTATAGCGATGCGAGAATCTTTTTTTGTAAAAACGTGTCAGTTCTCCACGAGGTTAAAAGCATGCAGCAATTCACATCTGCTGCCTAAGAAGACGTATATAACGGTAACAAAATTTGATTCTTAAGAGAACTCTGGAATGTTCTTTATTTTAGAAGTATAAAAATCTATAATGTTAAATTAGTATCTTTCTTTTTATGTTATTCGAGTACAAGAGTGCTCCAATGGTCTATTAGCATATAGTTGTAACAGACATATTTTAGAAAGTTTTTAAAAACAAAGATAATTATGTTATAAGAATATATGGATTTTTAGGAAAAGAAATGGCATTCATTTCTACTAAAGCTGATAAGCATGTCGGTGGTGATCAAAGGGAGAGCGATCTATTAACGTCTATAAAGGACAAGCACTACAACTTAATTGACGAAAGAGGGGATCATGATACATCGAAGCTAAATACACAAAATGTTACAAAAGAATTGATTGCCAAAGAATCTGGACGTGGAATGACACAATCAGATTCTCAGTCAGCAACGCAGTCTTCGTGTACATTATCGATAGTAAGCACGGATGACAATCGTGATGACGATAACAAGATGAAAAGCACTGAATCTTCTGATAATGAAATGATTCTTATTGATGAAGGTAATTATCGAATTATATGCACTTTAAACATTTACCATATAAACGTGAAAAAAATTAAAGATATGTCTTTTAGCTGAATTAGCATATACTAACACTCTTTAAGTGTTACTCATGAAAGTGAAGTAGATATATGTTTGAAATTTAACAAAAGCGAGAAAGAAAGTTTTAAGAAAGTACAATCCAATGCAGCAATAAAAAACAAATTTTAAGATTTCTGCAAACAC